CATTTTATATTTGACAAAAATCCTTTAAATATTTATCAAACCTTTTCCTTAGAATCTCTAGTACATCATTATAAAAACCTATCACAAATATACAAAATCAAAAGCAAGAAAATCAGGTATATGCTTGAACCTACCAAAAAGATCTAAACGAATAAGAATCAAAAATAGTTATATAAGGGCCATAACACTGTTTAACAAATTATCAAATGAGCTTAAAACAGTTAACAATACGAGTACAATAAAAAATAAACTAAAAAAATAAATAAAAGAAAATTCATAATAATGTTAAACGCCAATAAAATAGAGAAGATTAAAGATAAACTAAATTGTAATCAATTGAAACATTTACTACATATATGGTATAAAAGAAAAATGTATCTGGCATCGGAAGTCCATGAGGATACAAATTATCAATACAAAACACTACTAGAAGTTAGGACCTATGTATGTTCTCAAGGCAAATGTAACTCATTTACAATAGATCCCACAACAGATTAACAAACATTAATTATAATAAAATACAATGTACATTCACCGAAAACTTCAACAAAATCATTAAAATGGCAAATGAATTTAAAGATTGCTATAAACAACATTCAGACTCACATAAACAGAAAAAAATGTTTTTAATACGCCATTTCACAAGGGCTTTAAACCAATAATATTTGTAAAAGCTTCTCATTCCGAATCTGCATTTACAATAGCAAAATAAAATACAAACCAATCGAAACTGTCTTTAACGTAATAGACAAAATAACTGAACATAATAGCAATAGAATAATTTCAAATAAACCAGCATCAGCCCCTAGTAATCCAATTCAAAAACCAAATTGCTGTAGGATGACTTACGGAGACATCAATTACGTAGTAAATCAAAGCCCTACTCTATTTTGATAGAGGTTTATAAGATAAACAAACTTTTGTAAACTCTGTTTACTTACTTAAGCATCAACCTTAACACAAAGATCTCATAGTACTTGATGACATCATATTCACCTCAACCTACCAATAAAGCAACATCAGAGAATTTTCTCTCATTACAGAACAACATGTGTAATTGGACTTACTTGCCCAACAAGATTTAACCACAGTGAAAGAATAAAACACATTATAGACCACAATGCCGTAATAGAAAATTATACCACATCTAGATTAAGACTTATTAGATTCTAGTGAAGAAGAATATCGAAAAAGTGCAATTATTTAATAAAAAATTTATCTGAACTACCATATTATTTTTGGTAATAAGTATAATAAGTTAGTAATAAGTGCATCCAAACTTGCGAACAGGAAATTTTTCTTTGCTGGATTGCAAATTTTGTAAAACATTTTTGTAATATATATATACGATCACTCTATGTAATTATATATATGTACTCCGGATAATCATTGATAAATAAAATAAATATTATTTATTTGATAATGATCTTAATCCATTAAGGTTCAAGCCAAAACTGAATTAGATTGCATCAAACTATTTGATGGACACGAGATATAACGAAACAAAAGTAGCAGTATTTTTTCTTTAGTCTTTTATAATTGTTTATAAAAAACTATTTAAACAAGTTACCAATAAAGTCTTTTTTTAACTGATTACGCCAATTGATTCTATGGGAAAAATAATATAATTAAAAATACTACTAAAGAGACAATCGAAGATAAAACTTGGTGTCCAATTTGTAATTTTATACGGGATCCATACATAAAGAATAACCACATTTTAATTATACATTTGAATTATGATAATATCGGAGTTTATATATTCCAATAAGTTGTACATGAAAATATATTAATATATGCAAGAAACTTCAGAAGAGTGTGATGGAAAATGTAAATATTATAAACAAACTAAAATTTCTGTACAAAGTGAACCAGAAAAAATCTTAATAATTCGGTTCTATATATTCTCAAATTATAAGAAATTAACTGGTCTTGGAATAAATGAAGTACCCAAAGCGAAAATTATCTTAGGCAATAGGTATTATCAAATCACAAGTGCTGTATTTCATCTTGGATATAGTCTACGCAATAAATACTATTTTAACGAACTCCGCGAAAGAAATAACTGGTTTCACGTATCGTCTACTGAATTTTAAAAAAACGCCCAAAAGCTCAAAAGATGTCTATATATTTTTCGTACAACAATGTAAAGCTCCTAAAAAAAAAATAATGAAAACTAATACGTATAATTTTACATTTAATTTTATGTAAAATTCTTATATATCAAGTTCCTTAAACAAGTTATGAAATATCTCTCCACTCCCTTCAAAAACATTTAAAAAAAAAATCAAATTTGGTAAGTATGTCTTTTAGTTGGATTTCCGTAAAAAAATTAGTTTCTCATCAAATTTTTTTCACCTTACCGTTTCTAAAAAACCCTCTTTGAAAAAAGTACATTTCTGTTGAAAACAAATGATTCTTATCAAAATTATATTTATTCTCTTTGCTACTTTTTAGTTATTTATTCTCTTTTTTTCTACTATTTCATGATACCTAGCTTATAAATATTCAAAATAAAAGATGATTAAATGATTTCTAGGAAAGTGTTGTCAATACTATGAAAGTTGTGAAATCATAACTTACTTTAATGAGAAGCATGCGAAGGATTTTTTAGTTTTATCATATCTTTGAAAGTAAAACAATATTCTTCGTTGACAATTGTTTTTTGAAGCCACAGTAGGTAATATATTCATATCAAAATTAAATCTAAAATTATAAATGCCATTTATCTATATCTTTATATTTATTGTAACGGGGTAGATTAGCTAGTGCAAAAGCAATTTATTAAAGCACAAACTTTCTCGATGCAGAGCTAACCGCTGCTCCGTTAAACACATATGATTATATATGTATTCGTCTTTACGTTTGATATTTTCGTTTCAGTGTCTTCTTTCCAACAGAGTTGAACTCACCTTAAGTCATCTGACTTGTCACACTCAATTTATCTTAGATGTGAGTGACCTAATGCTTATTCCAACTAATTCCCTAGATGAAATCGGTTTAAAATTGAATCTGTAATAGATCCATTAAACTAATAGGAAACGGAATGACGTAATGCGGCGAATAAAATTAATATCGTTCATGACTAGAAAATTACAATCTTTGATGGGCCGAAAGACTAACGCACGCAAATAGGATTTATAATGATTAACAATAATACGGGGAGAGAGAGAGAGAGAGCATTCGAAATTCTGCCGCGAAATCTAACGCTCGGCGCGAATACAAAAATAACTGTCGCGATAGACAAAATACTCTCGCTAGTATTTTATCGCGCATAAAAAGGGAGGTGCACCTACCCTGCGGTGCAATTACGGTGATCAGCCATAATTGTTTTTCCAGCGAAATCAAAGGTGCTCCTGCAGGAACAAGCTACGCTGCCTCACTCGAAAGATCTGCTGTTGTTTTTTCTGCTGCTTTAATTGCTGCTGCTGTGATGCTGCTGCTCCTAATCAGCTTCCTTTATATCATTCGCACACGTATCCAAAATTCCAGGAAAACTTTGTGGAAAAACGATGAAACACAGTGCAAAATTAATTGGTGATACTTTCGCAAGTAACAGCTGAGGCTTAACTGAAACTTTGAACTCTCGCGCGCCCCCCCTCTCTCTCTTAGTCGTTCGCTCTAGCATCGCGAGCGCTACCGAATCGTGAATTTATCGATTGATCGAATGGACTACCGTTGCATTATATACATTTGAATTAAAAATATTATTTATCAAATACACTTTCGTGTTAATCTGTTACGTCTCAAGACGTATCTTTACTCATTTACATTCTTTAAAAGTGCAATCCCGAATTTCGTAAAATCAAAATTATATACACGTCCACCAGAAAACGATACGGTAGCAAAACACAAAGACCATACTCAGCATTACACAACACACAATGAACTCAAAAAGAAAATTACTCAACTACACAAGAAACATCAGCGATTTATTGAGCACAAATTTATGTATATAAGATGAACCACCCGAAAGGTGAGCAGCAATTATCGTTACTCCGTACACGTCAGTTCGACAATTGACGAATAAACTCTACATATCGACACTACAGTCGCGTGCAAGCCTGTTCGACAATTTGGCTAACTATTCAACTATTATTTGTCAAACTACATTATTTGATTTCAATAAATACTCGATCCATTAAAAGTGAGAACGTGCAATTTCATTATTGAACCTATCCAAATACCGAGATCTACGATACTGAAAGTACTCTAGAAACTGTAAGTACAACAAAATAAATAAATACATTCATTCTTATTCATACATCGTATATTATTCATTACTTGTGAGCCTCAATCAGCCACTAGTACTATATTGGTACGTTTCGCACATTTGCTATTCGTAGTTTATACACGAGACGTAACAATTGGTTCCGGTACAAAATTAGAAAAATCATTCTATTCTATCAATTTAAAGTGCAAAATTAGAATAAATTACTTTATCTTACCAATTCAAACTTTTCAATATAATCTTCAAGGCATTAATTAACAACATACTAATAATTTCTAATTTTGAAAGAATTTTTCTTACAAACAAATTACGTTTCAATTAACTTCTCTTGAACTGAAAACACATAATATCAAATTGTGTCATTTCATAAGCGAAAACAGTGTAGTAACTTGATCATCGCGAATAAATGACCTGGTAGAATCTACAACTCAGCAAAATTTTTGGAACTCAAATTGATATAAAAAAAAAAGAGTAGAGGAAAAGTAGGTCAAAACAACAATTCCTTACTTACTCATATACAAATTTGTTATTTATATATATATATATATATATGCATGCTTATATAATTATACGAATACCATAATATTATAAATCAAACAATATACGAATCATTTTTTGTGACTCCCTCCGAATAACAGAACAAATTTTAACTATCAATTTTTAATTTTTTAGTCCACATTATTTTCTTTCGAACTTTCTTATAATTTTCAATACAATCTAAATTCAATACATTTACTTTTCCTTTTCTTTTCTTGAATAAAATGCCCAAATGAGTAAAAAAATTACCCCAACTAGCAGAATAACTTCAAACGACTCGAAGCTTACGCGATCCCAAACGCGCAGCAATCCCCAACTGAAAAGCCTCCTACATAAAGAGTTAGAAAAAAACGCATTCAGAAGGAGCAGCAAGATACAATACTCACCTACAAAGAAAACTAAGGAAACACAAGCAGAAATTTCAAGAACCGAAGATTCATCAGTAACTCAAACAGAAGAACAAGATTCAGTTTTACAAGAAAACAACTTTTCAACAATAAATACCACAATAGACCTTGATAGAAATCAACGATACTCAGACTTTGGAGGAATTTACAACGAACAAAGCCTGATCTTAGGAAGTTCAAAAGATATATTTTCAAATCCTGAACTACAAAGTCAAGAGGAAGGAAAAACACTTCCCGAAAAAGATAAACAAGAAATCATACTCCAAAAAAATTTTGAAAATAACCTACAGAAGGAAAATCCACGGAAAAGCGATTTTCTGGCATTAGTAAACATCGACACACTCATCGAAGACCCGCCTACCACAAAGCAAAAAACAAAAATCACTAGAGAAAATTCTACGCCATCAATTAATAAAATACCTAAAAATATGAATAACAAAGAAAAACCAATGAAATTACAATTGAAAGACGTAGCAGCCTTCGTCGCAGAGTTCGATGGCAAAAACATATCACCTATGGAATACATCTCCATGTTAAAAGAAGTAAAGGATATTATAGATGATATCGATGAGAGAAATCTTACAAAACTATTAAAAATAAAAATTAAAGGTGAAGTAAAAGAAGCCATAAGAGGAAGCAAAGTGGAAAATATAACAGACTTAATCAACGCAATCAGAACTCTATACCCCATCAAAGAAGACATACACGCATTATATGCAAAAGTTCGTCAGATATCACAAGAAGAAGATGAATCAGTCGTACGCTATACTAACAGGATACGACAATTAGTATTGAGAATAAAAGAACTAAATAAATGGGAAGACACTACAGCAATAGAACGAACACAATTCGAAGCTACACTCGATAAAGAAGCAGCTAAAAGCTATAGAAAAGGATTAAAAGCAGAAATTAGATATGAAATAGGCCCAGGAACCACAGTACAAGAAATGTCGACAAGGGCAATAGACATCGAAAGTGACATAGAAAAAAGGAAATACACAACAAAACCAAATAGAAACTATACATATTCGAATAATAAAGAAGAATTTCAGGAAACAAAAATTCTCACATGTCAAATATGCAGAGAATTTTCGCATGAAGCTCTATTTTGTCGCACGGCAGCCTGCGTATATTGTAAAGGAACAGATCATTTTTCGAATAGTTGCAAGAGAGTGCCAAAGAAAATTAATCTAATATGCAAATTCTGTAGCCAACCAAGTCATTCAATAAGTGCCTGTCGTTTAAACAAAAGGCAAAATATACACTGCCAATATTGTCAAGAAATGGGACATGAAGTAGATCAATGCCCACACATCAGTAACTACGAAGCATGTTGGAAATGCAATGAAACGGGACACAACCCAATAAATTGTAAGAATGACCAAACTTCAAAACAAAACAAATGTGAAAATTGTGAGAAGATTGGACATACAATACAGCAATGCCCGGAAGTAATATGCAGAAAATGCAATAATATGGGCCACCTTGTAAAAGATTGTAAAGCAGGAGAAATAAAAAAGTCCCTATATAAAATATGTGCTATCTGTGAAGAAGTGGGTCACGAACAAGACACCTGTGACCAAGTAAAAATCATGTTCACAGAATTCAAAGCCAAACAGAAATTTAAGTGCCAGTATTGCGAATAGACAGGCCACACAGCTAAGTATTGCCCACTCCTAAAAACGCAATCGCAGCAAATTCAACAAACCCAACACTTATCATATAATTCAAATCATAATGGATTCCAAAGGAAAGGCTGTGCCTACTGCAAAAGTCCAGGACATAATATAAACGAGTGTAGAAAACTAAGCGCATTAATGAACAACACACCAACAAATCAACAAAAAATATGCGAATTCTGCAAGAAACACGGCCACATAATTGATGAATGCAGAATAATCTTATCACGACAAAAACAAGCCGGCGAATTTTGCGAAAAATGTAAAATAGCCGGTCATACAACACAAAATTGCTTTAGAAATAAAGGAAGAGCGGGAAACTTCGAGGCCCTTTCTGGAGGGAACGCCTAGAAAGGGAACACAACGAAAAAGCGCTCCCACAACAAAAAAATACAAAAACACAACAAACCAAAAATACAGTCAATATAGAAGCAAAAACATACGTATTGAAAATGGAAAATTTACTGCAATATATTGAAGTCGATGATCCATATTCACACAAAAAACTCAAATTGTTGATCGATAGTGGAGCCCAACTAAACATTATACAAAATAACAGTATTTCAAAACGAGACATAAATAGCAATGAACAGATATTGATCTCCGGAATTACCGACAAGTCTATCAAAACCCTAGGATCTACGAAGATACCAATACAAAACACATACTTTGATTTCCATGTAGCCCCGGACACTTTCTCTATTCCATACGATGGAATTCTAGGAATAAACATTTTCTTAGACTACAAGGTGAGACTAGATGAAGGATACTTAGAAATCAATGGAGAAAAAATACTTGTAAAATCTACAAAAGATAAACACACAACTACCACAATTACTACACTACAAGAAAACTCAATTGATACTTCGAACCAAGAAGCCAACAATACAGAAGAAATTACAGAAAAATATGACACTACATCAAAAGATGAAGACATATCACTATATCAAGATCTAGAAAAAATATTAACGACAGTAAATGAAATAAACACGCAAGAAAAAGAAAAAACAGAGCAAACACAAGAGGAAGGCGACGAACAAACGTATCAAGAAAACTTAGCAAAATTCATGGAAAATATAAACGAAGCTCTCGAAAATAAAAAAGAGCAAACAGAAGAAGAATACATCATGGACAACTATTATACCTTTTGTTCGATATTAGAACAAAAAATAAAAATAGAGAACAATACAAAACAAAATATACATATACAAGAAACAGAATTATCAGGTAATGAAACTATTGATACACAAAAAGAAATACAAAGGGAAATCACACAAGAAAAAGCCCCCGAAACTCAAGACACGAAAGAAAGACGAAACCGACTGATTGAAACAGTAAAGCTAGATCACTTAACCCACAATAAAAAACGAGCAATAGAGAACTTGATCATATCATTCGAAGACATATGCTGGTTAGAAGGAGATAAACTCGGCATGTGCAATATCGAAGAACACGAGATCAACTTAACAGACGAAAAGCCAGTATATATCAAACAATTTCCTTTGCCCTACACACTGAAACAAGTGGCATTAGACGAAACAAAAAAACTAATCGCAAACAAATTAGTTAGACCTTCGACAAGCGCCTTTAATGCACCAGTATGGGTCGTTCGAAAAAAAGGACTCACCAAAGGAGGAAAAAAAAAATGGAGATTAGTCATAGATTACAGAAAATTGAACGCTAAAACTATATCAGACCCTTACCTGATACCTAACATATTAGAAATTTTTGATTGTATAGGAAAAAACAAATTTTTTACAACTATTGACATGGTTTCTGGATTCCATCAAATAAAAATGAAAGAATCAGACATTCACAAAACTGCCTTCAGCATACCTGGTTTAGGACGCTTCGAATTTAAAGTGCTACCTTTTGGACTAATCAATTCGCCAAGAATTTTTCAAAGAGCACTAACAACAGTACTCGGAGACTTAAGAGAAAAAGGCTTCTGCTATGTATACATTGACGACGTAATCATTGTGGCAAATACAGTAGAAGAACACAACGCAAGATTCAAGCTCATAGCACAAAAGCTAAGAGAAGCAGGACTCAAATTAGAAACCAGCAAATGCAAATTCTTTCAAAAAGAAGTAGAATTTCTAGGACATATCATAAATGAAGAAGGCGTAAAAACTGACCCAAAGAAAATCGAAGCAATACAGAAATTTCCTATCCCTAAAACAGTTAAAAATATTAGAGAATTCTTGGGACTTACTAGCTATTACAGACGCTTTATAGACAACTTTTCAGATATAGCCAAACCATTAATACAGCTATTACAAAAAGACATAGAATTTGTCTGGAATACAGAGAGACAAAAATCATTCGAAAACTTAAAGAAAGCTCTATGCTCTGCACCAATACTGCAATATCCAGACATGACAAAACCCTTCATAATAACAACAGATGCATCAAATTTCGCATTAGGGTGCGTACTCTCACAAGGCAAAATAGGTGAGGATAAACCAATTGCATTTGCATCACGAGTGCTAAAACCAGCAGAAAAAAAGTACCACACATATGAACGCGAAGCATTAGGAATTGTATTCGCTGTGAAAACATTCAGAAATTACATATATGGAAATAAATTCACAATAGTAAGTGACCACAAACCACTGCTATCTTTCAAATCTGCTGACAATAACTCCAGAGTACAAAAATGGAGACTCAACTTACTGGATTACGATTATGATATCATCTACAAACCTGGGAAGATAAACACAAACGCAGACGCACTATCAAGAAATCCCGTAGAAAATACCATGGTAACAGTCGTAACCAGAGCACAAAAAGCTAAAGAAACAGGAAAAACACAAACAACAGACATACAAAATAATAATACAACAATAAAAAGAACAATCAAGAAAAAAAGAAAACAAAAAACAAGCCCAAAGGAAAAAACAATAGTAAACATTCAAGATTACCCACCAGAAATCACGACAAGCAAGGCAGACCTAGAAATACAGAAACATGTAGTCTTCACAAAAAAATCCATAGAATCACGGAACGACAACGTTGCAATATTTGTAAACCAATCACGACAAATATTAGACAAAAAAATGGAACAATTTATAAAGTCAAAGAAAATCAATATCAATAAAGACCTTCGCACAAATGAAATCGAAATTATAAAAAAATTCAAAAAAATTATTCATTCTATGCATAGACTCAGGCCAATCAGCAATAACAATAAAACAAAATATCACCCACATCCTAGGAACCCTGAAAGAAATCATGACAAAACAAAAAGAAAATAGATTCAGCATTTCAAAAGACCTACAGATAAACAATATCCATTGGCAAGAAATAGAAGAAATAATCACAAAAACCTTTCAGAACTCAGGAATTAACACAGTTATTTGCTTAAACTATATAGAATATATCAAAATCGAAGATCGAGATAGAATATTCAATCTCAACCACTCATCCGCCTTAGGAGGACACGCAGGAGTAAATAGAACATTAAATCGCATTAAACTCAAGTATTATTGGGAAAATTTAAAAACAGACATAGAACAAAGAATAAAAAATTGCGAAGACTGCCAAAGAAATAAATTAAAAAGAGTAAAGACAAGACAACCAATGGTTATAACGGAAACACCGTTCAAAACTTTTGACAAAATTGCTATGGATATAGTAGGACCATTAAATATTACCAAAAATCAAAATAAATACATCCTCTCCATTCAAGATTCATTATCAAAATTTCTAATAGTAATACCTCTACCCGATCAAACCGCCGAATCAATCGCAGACGCGTTCATAAAAAAATTTATATGCGTCTTCAGTTCACCAAAAATCGTGCTCACAGACAGAGGGGCAAACTTCACAAGCAAACTCTTGAAATGCATAGCGCGCAGATTTAAATTCACAAAAATAGAAACAACAGCCTTTTCGCCACGATCAAACGGTTCATTAGAAAGAGCCCATCATCCATTGTGCGAATATTTAAAAAATTTTTCAACCAAAAAAATTGAATGGGACGAATTACTAGAACTAGCACAATTCCATTATAACACAAGCGTACACAGCGCCCACAGATTCACACCACATGAACTAGTTTTTGCTTATCCACCACGATTACCTTCAAGCGAAACTTTAAAAGCTTCAGAACAATTACCCACTTTCAATAATTACCTGTCACAGTTAATCACAAACATGAAAGACATTGCAAATTTCGCAAGAAAAAACCTAATAACCACTAAAGAAAGATCAAAAAAATATTATGATCGCTTCATAAACCCAACAGATTTCAAAGTTGGAGACCAGGTCTGGCTCATAAAAGAACCTAAACCAGGCAAACTTGAAAAGAACCAAAACCTGGGACCATTTGAAATCTTAAAGGTTACAGATAAAAATAATGTTATCATAAATAAAGGTGGAAAAGCAAATACAGTCCATGCAAATAAATTAATTATGCACAAGAAAAAAATCTAACAATAATTTATGTTCTAGGACCATTTCAACATGTATCAACAATTCTTAATAATAATTACAATTATCAAAACAACATCAGCCATCATTGGATACGACTGTGGGACAACAACGCCAAACATCACGACGTACTCCTTAGTAGACACGGGAGAATGCGACTTTCACAACACTCCCGTAAATAAATCAAATGTATATATAGAATTAATACAAACCGCGGAATTCCGCGAAATTCCCGTACTACAATGTAAAATAGAGATACATAGAACTGTCTCCACATGTGGAATATTCGGGCACTTAATACCCACACCAACTGGAGAACAGGAGTACATTTACGAAATAAGTCATGAACAATGTAAATTTATCCACGAAACGGGAACTTTCGTATATGACAATATTCATAAAATTGTTAATCTAAAAATAAACGCAACTACTTCAAAAAGTATCGATTTCGCGGGTAGCGCAGAAGGAAACTCCTACTATGGAGCAGCCTACGCTGATAGCTTCGGATCATGGAATAAGGTATTTGTTCATGG